GAAAGAAAGAGGGTGGACGTGGGGCAAAAGAGCTCTTGCCAGACAGAACAGTAAGGTTTTAAAAAAAATCATTTGGTTCAGAGGGAGAGAGCAAAAATAGCTCAGAGACAAAGCCCTGGCTGCTGTCACACTGACTGAGCTGTGGCTGCAGGACGACAGGGTCCTTGCCCCTCTGCGCTCTGGCTCTGCGTGGAGGTGTGCATGGCTGGGTGGGCTGCACTGTCCTCCTCAAGATGCCCATCAGCCGTGGAAGGATGGCAAGAGTGACACCGGTGTGGGGGCACCCAGCAGGCTCAGGGCAGAGGAAAGATGCTCAGCACTCATCTGTCTCCATGGACGTGCTGTTCCTAGTGCTGCATATAGAAGCAGAGGAGGGACGGGGTGAAAACCAGTACTGCCTCCCCACGAGGGTTTGGTTTTATCAGCAGCCATGGCTGGGAGCGGGGGTCCACCCAAGCTGAAGCCTTACACCACAGGAAAAGTTCAGATCTGGTCTTCAGTCCGTATTTCAGTAGTTCAGGGCTCTTTGGTAGCATGCAGAATGAATCTGACCAAATCCAAGCCTAGAGAAATCTGGTGATCGGTCTAGATTGGAGCTGTTTGACTTGAACCCATCTCTACTTATGGTTCAGTCATACACAGACACCTTTTAGAGGTTTCTTAGTAGATGAGTAAAAATTAAAGGCATCTTTAAAAAAACCAAGAGCCTGTATTTTAAAAAGAAACCATTCATATGTACCTAAGTTCTATGGATCTGTTCTGTAAAGACAGACAAATTAAATGAGCTACCAGCTAACTCACAGGGAAAAGATAGAGTAGGGAAGGCACATCTGCAGTGCCTCTGGCCAGGGAAAGTCTGCTGCAACAGCTGAGAACCATCACACAGAGGCACCTAGACACCACACTATGAAAATCAGCCAAAAGGCTTGTTTAAAATGCCTATTTTAACACATTATCTTTTTATCCCCTTTTTTCAACTGTACAAGATTTGGAAAAAAAAAAGAAGCGAGCTTTATGTTTCTGGTACGTGTGTGTGGCCACAGAGCAGATGGGCTGCCCAGCTGCAAAC